CATTACTTCTACTCACAGTTCTTTGGCCAGAATTAGTCATGTGGACCCACCTAACTGCAAGGAGAGAAATATCCATGTGTGTGCCCTGAAAGAAGAGAACTGAATCTGAGTGAGCATCAGAATCCCTGTTACAGGTAATGTTTAGACTGTATTTTATGTAACAGTTTAGAGACTGCTTTCTTCCCCAACTAAAATGTGCTTCCTTGGTTTATACAATGGTCTTTATAATTTCTTATAATGCTCTTATTTAGCATGGTAGGATAGCATTTGATAGCAAAGATCTAGCTTTCCAGGATTTTGGAATATTTTACTCATCCATTAATTGATGGAGCCTGAAGACATTGCTAAAAACTGAAGTCAAGGTAAGCTTGGAAGGGTGAAGTGAGAACAGAAATAGTCACTATTAATGTATGTTTTAGATATTTTTGCTCTTGTAAAAATGTAAATTAGCCCTCGTGCCTGGGGTCCCCAGAATCATCTAGAGACAACCAGAGAAAAAACACTAGATTATAAACCTAAACCAGGAAAGGTTGGGTAACCCACTGAACATCTGTAGGTTTTCTTGCGGTGCAAATTAACTAAGAGCAAAGGTATTTTTGTGGTCAAATAAGTGTAGTAACTGGTCAATTAAACAAAATAATTAGGTTTCCATTCTGCGGAATTTTGACTAGATTCATCAGTAAGCCAATACACATTAAGAATTTCATCATGGGAGCATTATAGAGTGTTTGCCAAATTTACTTGGTCTTGGCAATGCCTTGTCACCTTGAGAAACCCTAATGTTGAGCAAAACACAGTTCAGGAAATCGTGCCCTGGAGAGATTAAAATGAGAGACCAGTTCTTCTACAAAGTCTTCTCCCCACACTCTAATCAGTGCCGTTAGCACCCCTGTGGGCTAAGCTGAAACCCCAAGCTGGTTTCATGAAGTTAAATCTCCATCCCTGCAGCAGTCTGCATTCTGGATACCAAACATCTCTCTCCTCTTAGTTTCGGCTGATTGGCCCAGGCTAGATCACATCCATCTCCACCTAGGAACCACTGAGCTGGACTGTTCCACTCCACATCATCAAATATTCATTCCAAAAGAGCCCACATACCCCAGATGGCGCATGTCTCTGGGCTGAACCCCAGCCAAGTCAGTACAGTCTCCTCACAAGGAAATTCTTAAAGCTATTCTTGAGTAAGTGTTCCAAGATACCTAATATCAGGCTTAAGGTCAAAAACAGGATGTGCCCATGGATAAATGGACCATTTATAAGATTAACAAATAGACTCAAACACCACAAACTTGAGATCCAGGCTCCAAAGCCAACTTATAATTTTTATATCCTAATATCCTTCTTAGCCAGTGGATAATATATTTCCAATGGCAACAGTTTGACAAGCTCAGAGCTATGCTGACAACGAGCTATTGTCAGAGAAGTTACTCCTACACAGACTATATCTGCTACATCTTGGATTTACCAGAACCCAAAACATTTTTTTTAATTGAAGTATAGTCTGTTTACAATGTTGTGTTAATTTCTGGTATACAGCATAGTGATTCAGTTATACATACATATATATGTATATATCCTTTTCATATTCTTTTTCATTATAGGCTATTACAAGGTATTGAATACAGTTCACTGTGCTACACAGTAGGACGTTTCTGTTAATCTATTTTATACATAGTAGTTAGTATCTGCAAATCCTGAACTCCTAATTTATCCCTCCACTCCCCTCTTATCCCCCCAGTAACCACAAGTTAGTTTGTTTTCTATGTCTGTGAGTCTGTTTTGTAAACAAGTTCATTAGTCTCATTTTTTTTAGATTCCACATATAAGTGTTATCATATAGTATTTTTGTTTCTCTTTCTGGCTTACTTCATTTGGTATGACAATCTCCGAGTCCATCCATGTTGCTGCAAATGGCATTATTTTATTTTTTATGGCCAAGTAGTATTCCATTGTGTATATATACCACAGCCTCTTTATCCAGTCATCTGTTGATGGACATTTAGGTTGTTTCCATGTCTTGGCTATTGTAAATAGTGCTGCTATGAACATTGGGGAGCTTGTATCTTTTCGAATGAGAGCTTCTTCTGGATATATGCCCAGGAGTGGGATTGCTGGATCATATGTTAAGTCTATTCTTAGTTTTTTAAGGAATCTCCATACTGTTTTCCATAATGGCTGCACCAAAATACACTCCCACCAACAGTATAGGAGGGTCAGAACCCAAAACTTCTCAAGAGTTTATAATCTCTACTAACCACTGCCAATGGCTCTAACACTACTTGCCTTCAAATCACCACTGTTAAATGAATTTGTTAGGACACAATAAATATTCTCAAAGTCAAATATAGATTTTCTAGATAAATTTTGCTGTCAAAGAGCATGATTATTAAGAGCCTATAATTGCTCCAGAATGGAAACGGAATTCGGCTGCCCACATTTGAGATTTCTTAAACCATAAATATCAGGCTAAGTCTTTCACTCTCTATGTTTATTTGGGTTATAATTTTGTCTAAAGTGGCTGCATGTCTGCAGGCTGGAAGTGTGGACCACAAGCTCCATTACCAACTTGGGAAGCTGACAAGCCTTCTGTACCTCCTCTTCCTCATCTACAAAACAGAGCGCATCACAAGCACTCCAGCCACCTTACAAGGTCTACATGTAAGAATCATATGAAATTTTGACCACTATTTTACCTAAAGGAGGGTGAAGGGATCCTGGGTGGTAAAAATAATAGCTGTCTTCTACTTTGAAGTTAAAAAAAAAAAGAAAGAAAGAATCATACATGTTTGACAAGTTTGTATATGATTCCCCAGTCCTTAGGAGTTGTCCCAAACATAAGATTTGTATTTGTCTATAATGATTTACAAATGGGAAGAGGATAGTGAAAGTTAAAATACAAGGAAGATATATAAGGTTTCTTTCTTCCCTACCTCCTATCTTACCCAGAAAAAATAAAATTCAATTTTTAGCCTAACACAGAGACTAAGACACGTGGCTCTGAAAAGGCAGCTGGTGCATGGAGAGTCTCATTTCTTCATGAAAAGAATCCAGCCCAGGGTGTCACAGTGGGGTTGAAGGTTTGGACACTCTCACCTTCTGGCTGGTGTCTGAGCCACAGAAAAGAATCTGCGTATCTCCAAGAAGAAAAAAGTTAACGAAAAATAAAGCTACCTTTGCAAGAGGGCTGAACAAAATCTCCTAACTGGGTAACCTGACTCTGGCTCTGAATAAAAGGAGGCGATGTCTATCTGAGAAGCAGAAATGAGTCCACGGTGCTGCTCGGGCCCTCGGTCCCAGTGCACAGGATCACTGTTCCCCTCCACCCCGCCCACCACGCACTCCCACTCGCACTCCCATTTCCTGTTCCAACAGACCTAGGCAGGGCAGCCATCACACCAAGGCAACATTCAAAATAACTTCAAAATCAGGTTTCATATTTTTCTCCCTGGAGTCCCTTGGCACGGCTATAAAACATCTTGCGATACAGAAATGCCTGGGGAGAGCAGAGGCTTCATATTTGGGTGATAGGCACAGTATTAACTAAAACAACAACAACAATCCAAATGGTTCGGCTAATAGAGTCACAGCAGTCAGCCGGTATTATACCAGGGGGGACTGAGATCACTCAGAGAGCAGTAAAACGCCTCAGGATTAAGCAAGGCTCTGGCTGTTTTCTACCAGGAAGACCTCGACGGAGCTGAATGCTCTTAACTTCAAAAATTACTCAACAAAAACAAGTGAAGATGAGGAGAGAGACGGGGAGCGGGAGGGTGGGGGAGAATTTGGTCAAGAAAGAGTTGGAAAGCAGTTGATGATAGCTGACACACAGAGTTAGAGACACTGAATCCATCTTTCTACCTACTAAGGAGGCGCGCTTGTTACCCACACATACTGTGCAACGTGGGAGCATCTGCCGATATTTGGGATAATTTTAAAAGGGTGCCTCATCTTTCATACTCTCTTTCGTGGTGAAAATTGGAAAGCTTATGAGATGTTATAAATCTTCACTTAATTTTTAACATTTTTTTTATTGAGTTATACTCATTTTACAATGTTGTGTCAAATTCCAGCGTAGAGCACAGTTTTTCAGTTATACGTGAACAAACATATATTCATTGTCACATTCTCGCTTAATTTGTAATTGAGGTAAACAACAAGGTCCTACTGTGTAGCACAGGGAACTATATTCAATATCTTGTAATAACTTATAATGGACAAGAATATATATATATATATATTACTGTATATATATATACATATATATATATATATATTACTGAATCACTGGGCTGTACACCAGAAACTAATACAACATTGTAAATCAACTATACTTCAGTTAAAAAAAATTTTAATTGAAGTCTAGTCAGAACATGGAGTCTAATCATAAGCAATACACTTTAATTCTCAAAAAGAGAAGCAAGAGCTAACAGTTTAGTGTCTCTTGCCACACAGGTGTGAATTAATAGTGATGCTTGCATTTTGCATGCCAACCTCACAGCTCACTTTGTATGGCTTTTCCCACTCTCACTTCTTAAGCCCTGAATCTAATTGCTCTTCTAATATTGTATTTCGCATTTATTATTGTTGACCACATTTAAAGTATTTTTAAAGGCTTAAGCCATACTGCAGATATTTATTTGTGTCCGAAAACACACTGATAAATCCCTTTGTTATAGTCCAGAAGTGCACATAGAGTGTCTATTCATGGCATCATTAATAAAATCAACGGCCAGGGGTTCTCAAAGAATGGCTCCTGGGGCAGAGGTCCGGGCATCACCTGAGAGCTTATTACAAATGTGCATTCTCAGCTGCCCAGAACTATTGTTTTAGTTTTCTAGCTCTGCGTAACAAGTTACTAGAAATTCAGCAGTTCAAACCCACACACGTGTATTTATCTCACAGACTTCACGGATCAGAAGTCAAGGACAGGTTAGCTGGGTCCTCTGTCCAGGATGTCACCAGATTGAGAATCAAGGTGTTATCAAGGGCTGTGATCTCACCTGAAGCTTGGAGTCCTCTTCCAAGGTCACTAGTTAGAAAAACTCAGTTCCTCACAACTATAGGACTGATGTTACTTTCACGCTGACTGTCAGCTCCTAGAGGCCGCCTACTGGACCCTGCCACATAGCGTTCTCCACACCGTGACAGTTTGCTTCTTTGAGGACAGCAGGATAGCTCTTGCTTTGAAGTTCTCCAGTCTGCAAAGACAAAGGCATAGGGAATGGAATGGAGTACAGCATAATGATGATTATCACTTCTGCCAGATGACATAATCTAGCCAAGGGAGTGACATCCCATCATGTCCACTGCCCCTGCCCACACCCTAGGGCTGGGGACTACACAGAGGGGTGGGAATCCTGGGGGCCGTCTCAGGATTCTACCTGGCACACCTATTGACTCAGAGAAAACAATCTAAGATCCCAGATGACCCCCATACCTCCCGACTCTTCAGCATAAATCAAGAAATGTAAGGAGATGGAATAATTTGAGGATTCTGTTAAATGAATACTTGCTTAGTCCCTCAAAAGAAACTTTCCCCCACAAAAATAGAGATTCAAGGGGACATCCTGCTCTACATGGGAAGTCAGACTTTCCCTGGCAGCCGAAAGACCAGATCAATCAGGGGGTTAATTACACAGCTCATTTTCCTGGCCCCCATGGGGCATAAAGGTTATAGACGGCCATGTATTCATGCTGCCATTGTTAAAAATTCAACCGCAGCATTTATTTCAATGAACTCCTTTGACTACATGTTAAATAGATGCACTAAGGGAATACATAAAACATTATCTCTATTAGTTCAAATTTTCTGAGGCTTTAAAAGCTTCTAGTGACTGAAGGAAAAATGCATCTGTAATATACCCCCTGCCGTTACAAATACATTCCCTAAAATATAAGCAGCTTGATGATAAGTGAGCGTTAAGCATGTGCACACACAAACACACACACACACACAAACACACAGAGTAGCTTGAATGTGGAGATTTTTTTAATAGCACATTATGTTTAAGACTTCACATTTATTAACAGACCAGATTAGTTATACAAACTGTCAAAGTGCTCCTTTAGTTATTTATTTTTTAGTTTTTGTTGTTGTTGTTTTTTGGGGGGGAGGTAATTAGGTTTATTTATTTTTAATGGAGGTACTGGGGACTGAACCCAGGACCTCATGCCTGCTAAGCATGCGCTCTACCACTGAGCTATACCCTCCCCTCTCAAAATGCTGCTTTAAATTGTAATGATCCCTTCAATGTCTCAGATGTTTTCTAAGTACGCTGTAATCTTAAACGCACAGTGCTGCCTGGTTCAGTCCACCGGGAACAGTGGGGCTTCTGCTCTGTTGGACTCTGAGTGGACGGAAGGGAGGCTGACGTTCCTGGGGTCTTTGGTATGTCTCTGCCCAATTTCCAGCCCCAAATCTCCACCCAGGCAGAGGTGGTTTCATAGTACAATATCAATTCATGTGGTATGTCCCACATCTTCACTGAAATCTACCCATGGAGAAGTCCCCCAAAGCATGAAGCCTTCATTTATTGATACAAAAGGAAGTCGCCTTTGAAAGGAGCATAAAAGATGTGTCTTTCAACGCTGTCTCACAGTGGCTTCACCTGGGCACCACACAGGTAAGAATCATGTCGCCTTTCCTGGCTGCCAGTGCGGTGTGTCACATCTTGCTTACGTAGCCAAGTGGACTTAGAGAAGGTGGCTGACCAGAACCTCCTCAGGGTAACACACACTTGGTGCTTTTTCTGCCCTGCCGCCTGATGGAATGGTGTCTCCCTGTAATTACCAAACAGTAAGCTGCAGCAGCAGAAACCACTTTGCAAAAGCATGAGAGGACTGACTCTGCTGAGAGCAGCAACCTGAGGTGGCCTGGCCACCACGAGAGCAGTGGAGGTTCAGGCCCCACGGGCACTAAGAATTACTGCTTGTTCTGGAAAATTCACTCCAAGAGGAGACTCACCACACAGCCCCAGGCACCCTTGTGAAGAAACAGGGACTCTGCTGTGCAGAACAATTGGACAACACCAGCCCCAGTGAGTCTGGGTAACACATCCCAAACGGTGAGACTCCCTGTCCTATTAGAAAAGCTGGACTGAGGACAGAGAAATAAGGGGCTGTTAATAAGAAGGGGGTTATCCCTCGTTCCTACTGCCGACTAGGGTAGGCCGGTGCCTCCCTTGGATTACACGCATTTTGAGGATGAGAAACTGACACCTAAAGAGCATCACAAAAAGTTATTTACGATGCCAAGACTCGTACTTTGGTCTACAAACACCATGTTCATCTTTCAATATTATTTTCCCTTCTTAAACCTGTCATTAACAAAACTTAAGTACAGTCATCACTGGCAACATATGCATATATCAGATCATTCTGTTGTACACCCTAAGCTTATACAATCTTATCTGTCAATTATATCTCAATAAAACTGGGGTTACCATGTGATCCAGCAACCCACTCCTGGGCATATATCCAGAGGAAATTCAAATTTGAAAAGATACATGCACCCCAATGTTCATAGCAGCATTATTTACAATAGCCAAGACATGGAAGCAACCTAAATGTCCATCAAAGATGAATGGATAAAGCAGATGTGGTATATATATATTTGTGTGTGTGTGTGTGTGTGTGTGTATCTATATCTATCTATCTATCTATCTATCTATTATATCTATATATATATATATATATATATATATATATATATATATATATATATATATATATATATAAAATGGAATTCTATTCAGCCATAAAAAGAATGGAATAATGCCATTTGCAGCAACATGGTTGAGCACGTTGGAGACTTCTAGGAAAGGTGTGATCGGGTTAAACAAGAAAAGCCGAGCTGGCGGGAACTCTGGCCCCATCACCCCGCAGGGCCTGGGTCCGGTGATGAAAGCTGCTTCTGCACAGCTCCTCCTGGAGAAGGAATCTCAGGGGGTGCTATTCTCGTCTCCTGTTACCCTTGTCCAGTTTACACGCCTGGGAACCTACAGCGATGAGAGCAAGAGTGTGCACTCCAAAAAGGAACTTCGTGTGAGATTTGTTTTCATGTTCCTTTAGAAAAACTGAATATTTGTTTGCCCTTTGAGACCTCAGTAAGGGTCTATACCTTCAGGAGTGTCACCTCTCCAGGGAAGAGATCTAGACAATTTGACAGGGGAAATCCTTAGCGTCGGCTCGGCTCATAACGGGGCACAGTAGGGGCAATGCTTGCCTTTCTTTCCTTTAAGCCACCGGCCACATAACGAGCATCACCCAGCTTGTCCCAGTCTGCAGGGGAGAGCGCCAAGAGCCTATTTCCAAGTTCAGTCCTTTAGCGCCACCTGCCGCTAACTACTCCACAATCACCCCTGTAGCTAACAAAATGAAAAGTACAAATTCCTTTTTGAAAGTTCCAGCTACGCAAAAGCCTGATCGACACAGTGCCAAGCTCACATAGGAAGGAAATGTTCAGATTAAAGGACAGTGTTAGCATTGCCATTCATACGTGAATCACGGGGCGTGGAGCATGGTCAAAACAATCTTAGTTGTTTTTACTGTCATCATTTTTGTTGTCAGTAGAATTCAAAAAATGGGGATTTAAGAGAATTTGTAGTGTTTGAGATATGGTCGGTTTTTTTTTTCAAATTATCAATGAATTGCATTTTATGAAGCACAAACAGTAATTTAAAATCCAACAAGTATATACAGTGTTTATTGTTAAAGAGACAATACCTCGAGTAATTAAAATAGTTAAGGAAAGGCAAGATCTCCCTAACTGAATTTTATCCATAACAGAGGGTTATGTTTCTTTTCCAGTTTCTTCCCATACTTTAGAATATTCCTATAAAATAAGGACGTTGGTGCCCATACCTCCTTGAGAAAATACAATAATAGGTGCTTTGAAGGTTTCAGAATTACCTCGGGGGTCTGTAAGCTACCATCCTGAAAATAAGAGTGTTTCTATCACAGGCAAGCACCCATTCAGAACTCGAGGTGTACCTCGGTGTAACAACCTCTCAGTTATTCCTCACTACTTTCCATGTGGGTAGTGTCAGTATTCTCCCTGCGTCTTAGAGAAGAGGAAACTGGATGTTGAGAGAGGTTAAGTGCCCTGCCCAAAGTGTCACGACCAGTTGATGGCAAAGTGAACCCAATTCTATCAAAAGAAACAGAGTGACCCTCTAGCAGCATGTGTACAGCTGTCCCAGCGCCTCTCCCAGGAAAGACCCATGTTGCGGGCAGCATGACGCTGCTCCCCGGCCCCAGAAAGTTTGGGGACCTGGATCAGGTCAGCCTTGAGTTCCCCAGATGGCAAGGACTCTGTCTCACCGACTGTAACTATCATGGCATCAATAATTCAAAGCCACAGGCACTGACAGGCTGTAAATAATTTTTTTAAAGTGTAATCCATATCCATCCTTATTACTGGGCATCACTGGAACTCTAATTCCTCTTATATTTATTAGAATGGAGACATGACTTTACATAAAGGCTATCACTAACAAGAATAAAAATAATACCTCAGGTAATATTTTTTTTCAAAACCACCCATGCACTGTGGCCCTTGAGGTAGAATCCCAAAGACAGGGAGGTTAGGGTTTGGTGTGGGTTTCTGGCACTGGTATTTCCCCCCCGTTTTTGCTAATGTGAAGGAAGCTGGCAATGGTTTGGTGATAGAAGAAAAGGAAACAACAGTACTTCTAAACGGCAGGCTCTGAAATTCTGTCTGTGGGAATATTCCAGAGAAGATCGGAGCCTTATTAAGCCATTAGAAAACATTACATAATGGTTTCCAGTAAAAAGGAGGACAAGAAACAGACTTTTCTCAGAGCTCACAGGAACATGGAACAGGAATATGAGTCAAAGAAACAGCGAGGTGCATTCTCCCAAGCAGCCCTCATTCTGGATGAAAAGCAAAGCAAAATGAGAAGGAAGGAGGAGAAGGCTGGTGAAAGCAAACAAAGCAGAGCATGGATGTGCAGGGAGGGAAATAGGTTGGGGGGAGAGTCTGAACCAAGATCAAGGGACTGAAGTAAAGAGAGGAGGAAGGACTGGGGGCGGGGGGTGGCGGTGAGGATGGGAGTCCTCCTGGAACTCCCCGGGAGCCCCTCACAAGGAAGAAAGAGAGGCTTACTCAAAGAAGACTTTACACTTTTTCTCTTATATTCCCGTTTCCCAAAAGGGATTTCTGAGAGGAGAGATGCCT